GATCCTAACCCTAACCTACACACACACACACACACACACACACACAGGTGGACAAAGCAAACGGTCGTGTGAAGGTGTTGAAGCGTCAGTTGGAGGAGGCCGAAGAAGAAGTGGCTCGCATAACTGCCCAGAAGCGCAAGGTTCAGCGCGAGTTGGATGACCAGATGGAGCAAGCCGTCACCACACAGAGGGATCTGGATTCCATCAAGTCCAAGATGAGGATGGGCGGAGCTTCTGAGAAGTTGAGGTCAGATTGCCTGGTTTGATGGTGATTGGCTGGTCAGATGGTTGTTTTTATGATGATTGGCTGGATGATGATGGGTAGAAGATGATTGACTGGATGGATTATTTGATGATGATAGGGATAATATGAATGTGGAAAGAGATGATAAGGAAGGCTCTTGATAATGACGATGATGATGGTGATGACGGTCATGTTGAAGACCCCACCCACCTGGATCAGGGCTGTTGATGACGTTGTTATAACAACAACAATAAAAATATTGGCGTACAGGAGTGGTCGTCTCGGCAACAGATCGACCTTCCTATCGTCAGCTGACGACGCATCCTCACATGATAAGGACGAGGGCGGAGCCAACGAGTCTCAATCTTCCAATCAGTGAGCCAGTCGGGCCGTCACTCAGACAACTCTTCCATTACTATTGGGCCAACAGAAAAAATTTACAATTATTATTGTTATTATTAATTTTTGTTCGTAAATTTTCAAATGATGATAAACATTACAAGATGCTCCTTTCCCGAAAATTTAGATTGCACCGTTCTTGAATGTTCATTATCGTTCGCTGCGTATTTTATTTATTATCAGACATTGTTCACCACCAGCCAGTTTGTTTTCACAAAATTTTTTTTTGAGGAACCTCACTGGAGAAGTTTCTGTTCGTCGAAAGACATTTTTGTCTCTGGCAACATAATTTGATCATTCATTGTTTGTTGTTTTGTTAATCTCTCGCTCTCTCCCTGATGTATTTTATTGTATTTAGTTTATTACTTCGAAATTGTTGTTATTAATTTATAAATTATTAATTGTGAATTATAATTGTTCGGTGACATCTGGTTAATAATATTTCCTACTGCTGCTCTTATGACATTCTGCATCTTCCCAGGGGAATGTTTAACGAGGTGACCTTAACTCAAAATTAAATTATTATTGTCATTCTCTCCTTAGTTGTTGGACCGTGTAGCATTTTTTGAAATTTAATTAACGGAGGCTTGTTTGTAGTTTCTCATTAGCCGCGTATTATTGTTACGTTACTATACCCCAAGGTTCAAGGCGAACTTACACTGATTGCCTTTCAAAACTGTCTGATTTCGTTTGGATTATTGGCAAAATTTATGGCATTTAAATAGTTTCTATGTTCTCAGTTTATAAATGTTCAGAAGGGCGAGCGTGGTTTGAACTTTTCAGACATTCGTTGCAGCAGCCATTCATTCATCCACATCTCATTCATTTCATTATTTTATATGTACATCTATAAATTTACACTTGGCCATCGTGGCGGTGATGGTCATCCAACCGGAAAAATTTCAATTCCGATAATTTTTTCATTCTATTTTTTTTTTACGCCCACGATGATTGTATTTGCATTCGTAGACGATTTTTATTTTGTTATTTCTCAAGACCAAATTAATTTTGCTTATTTCTTTTACAATTTCTTCTTGGTTGAACAGCATAAATGCACGCAACACACACAACGCATACAATACAAACACGCAGCCTACGGCGTAGATACAAAACGTAGCAAACACAACACACAAACGCGGGTCACGTTCGTCCGATCACTCAACAATAACTCAAAAGTTGGTTCACGTTTTATAATCAGAAAAGCCAAATTCTGTCAATTTCAATTTTTTGCACTATGTATAAATATATATATTTATATTACATTTATACATACGATATGCGATAAATTTTCTATAGGACTAAGCCTTAAAACGCTGCAATTTTGATAACAATACTTTCATACCATTCAAACGTATACTTACATATACACAAACGTACACACTACACATTCTTTACATTCTATTTTACAGGCCTTTATACACACGTATATATATATATGTATGTACATACATACTTATATATGCGTTAATATATATTATGCAAAATATTTTTGTAATCTATCTTATGGACTACCCAGATAACCCTTCATTCCTTATATTGAATGATTGATACTATTCGTTACTTTGTTTTAACGAAGTTAATTATTTATATGCATTGACAACTGATTCAAATAATTCGTCTTAACTTTTGTAATTCGGTAACGCATGTTCAGTTATTATAATTTCTTTGTTAAATAAATCCAAAATAAGGTTAGCGGTTTCATCAATTGAGAGAGATCCTTCTTTAAGAAGCTTATACAAAAGAATTAAAATGATTCAGACTAAGTAACGAAAAAAAATCGAGTTACTTTCAGAAAGAATGCTTGCACAACCCAAAAGCACGTTAATTTGTCGCCAAGTTGTAGAAGATACTACATTAAGACGTAAAATAAAAGGGCCTTCCAAGTGTAAGTTAGTGGCATTATATATGCTATGCAACTTCCGTTAGGTTCTTCAATATATTTTATTATCGGTCTGACGGGGGGTGGGTACATCCTTTCATTCCCCTCTCCATCTGGATCCGCCACTCACATAGTGATCCCAACTCAGCAGAAAATAAACGAGAAAATTTACAAAACCGATTTTGCGCTTTATGCTTCTAACCATGCAGTGATTAGAAAATAGAGTTGTTTGATTTGGCTGTAGGGACAAACGTGTTGAAAAATGTGATTCAAAAAAGTTTATAAAATTTTATTTTTTAGTTCGTAGTTGTAAATTTAATTTAACTATATTTTCAACTTTGTTCGATAATCATGGATCCGGTTTTTTACCAAATCTTCGGCGTTGAATTCGATGAATCCGAATCCCAGGATTTAGGCCCGAATCCAAATCCGGATTAAGAACCGTCGACTTCCTAATATTCACATGCATGCGGTTGGCGTCGTTGACACTTTCGACTGAGTAATAAATTTATATTTACCAGGTTCAACTTTTATTAAATTTTTCAAATTTAATAATTTTTAGTTTATAAAGTATCGGGAACGTTGCCTATAAATTATTACTGATCTTTATTGAAGAGGGACTAAAAACTGAATGCATGGTCCAGCATTAACGACGACCACCGACCAGGCAGGCACTACAGCGAATTGTGGACAATTGTGGACATCAAACACATGGAAACATTCAAAGATCGTATTAATGTATATGTTATAAAAAATTTCACGGTACATAAATTAATTCCTTTAAGTCTCAATAAAAAAATAAATAAACAAGTACATAAAAAACAGAAGTATAAAAATCTAATCTTAAAATTTTTACTATCGAGAAATAACATGAACTACCGTAATGACATCAGTTAATTATTGTTATCGGCAATGTTAGTTGGTCCATACACAAGATAATATAACCGGATCGCAAATGATTGAAATGTTTATACAACGTTATTAAAACTTCGCGAATCAACGCTAGAATTATCATCAGATGACTTTATTAGAATGCTACAACAATGTATATTTTTCCAACATTATATAACTTTTGACAGATAATTCGACCATTCTTTTTTACAACGATCTTTACAAGGAAAAGCAAGGGCGGTTGGAAAGTAAAAGAAATATGTAAGATTACTGTAATGAATGAGTGTAAATAATAACGTATCATAATCATTTACGTTAAGTAGAAAAATGTATATATATATATATATTTTTTTACAATATTCTATAAATTCTACCGAATGTTTGGCATGATGTTCTCAAAGATACAAAAAAGTTCCAAGTAATCAAAAAAGATACGCCAAACATTCGGTAGAATTTATAGAATATTGTAAAAATTATGGTCTAATACTAACACACACACACACACACACACACACACACACACACACACACACACACACACACACACACACACACACACACACACACACACACACACACACACATATATATATATATATATATATACATACATACACACTACCAAAATATACAGAATAACATATCCATGCGAAAAATATGACCATTGTTCACTTTGTATTTTTCAAACATCTTACATCACTACGTAAAAGTCGTGTAGAAGATATTTTAATATAGACAGGTGGCAGGACACCCTGGTTCGTTGATTAAAAAGCATCATGGTAGAAAGGAGGGAATAATGCAAACGCGTATAAAACTGAATAAATTAGATTAGAAACAACTATGAAAAAAATTAAAATACGAAAAAGATGGGATCAAGGAAGGCATGGAATGACCAAATGTATGAAAACTTAAACAGCTACGTAAGAAAATTAATGGAAAAATTCGACAGCATTTCAAATGTGATAAGAAACGATAGTTCTTAAATGTCTTATCAGTTAGCCAGGAATCAGGAAATAATTAGATAACAGCTGAAAAGACGTTAATAATAAAGAGTAGGCTACTTTGTTTACGGCCAGAAAAGTTCACGAATGTTGAAAACTTCACAATTCAACAGTACAGACTACAAACAAAGCTACCTCTGCTCAATATTATTCATACTAGTACTATCCAAACTAGTATCAATACTTATACTACCACTGCTGCTACTTATACGAATGATAATATTAGCAACAGCTCAGTATAAACACTTAAATTAGGTTTTCCAGACGCACATTTCATAAAGCCATCACAATCTTGTAGCAATCATCACAATGATAGCTACAAGATTGTAGCAGGCACCTGAATAAAATAACCCGAGGTTAATAACGAAACACTAATCTTACATCATCTTTTGCTTTCAATTGTTATGAATGTACGACGAGGCACCATATGAATACATAAACAATATCGTAAAAAAAAACAAATTGAAGGACAACGAAATGATGTGAGCTTAATAGTCATATTTCAGTTCTGTAAAATGAAATCAAATAAGTTAGCGGGAGGGCAACAAATGAAACTGGCCAACAAAACATTGACACCAATGAAACATCATCCAAAGATGGCCCGACAATTATTGATGATGAACTCGACGAGCTGGCCCCTCTGAACAATGTCGAATGCCATGTTGGCGTCTGCAACCTTCCTGTCTGACCAGAGAAGGGTGGGTCCGAAGACGATGGCAAGCCCCTGAGATTGCATTCGATTGTCTTTGCTGTGTTGAAGCACGCTATTATGAGAGTGATCATATTTTTAATACTTTAAAAAAACTTCAAATAAATTTTTGTTTACATTATAAGAAAGTCAAATTTGTTCGAATTGTTAGATTAATACACGGAAGTAAGCGGTCAGTAGATAACAACAGAACTATAATGACTCAGATAATAAAATATTTTGGTTACTGAGAAGTATTCAAATTTTTAGATCCATGGGCATTTTATGAAGAAAATAGCAAGTATTTAGTTAAAAATTCATTCCACATTATCCCAGTTCTAAAAAAAAACATCCAACGCTGAACACCCCGGGAAGATAAGTCCCTTATAAAGTAACAAGCTACAGACCGGTCAGGAAGAAAAGTAGAAAGAGCCTTTTTATTTTTTTGTTCTCATTCAAATTTACAGATACAATTAAATAGCAGATTGTTGAATAGCTAATAGACAAAAAATTATTAGAAAAACGCCACAAAACAGAAAAATATTTTAAAATATGTCTAAGAATATTTCAAAGTAGAATTACGCCAGAAATGAGAACAAACGCAATGTCCCATGAAATATTTTCAACATGGCATACACGTATGAACCGAAAATGTATTTTCAACAACTAACATGTCCAAATGTCGGAACAAGGCTTTAAGCGTTTTTCCATTGGTGACTGGTAGCTTCTTTATGAGCTCCTTTATCTGGTTCAAATTGTCTGGCGAAGGATATGGAAATGTCACAAATTTTTTTTTTCAAATTTCAATCTCAGTATATCTTCAGCTTATAATTAAGCGACATGACGCCTCATACCAACATCGCTAGTGTTAAACGGTTATAATATTACATCTGCCACAACTTTATTATATTATGTTATTATATTACCACAGCAATTATCACTGTTATGATTACCACTATCACTATATTCATCATTAATATCATTAACAATAAAATTGCAGCATTCATTTTGATAATGATTTTCCCCATGATGATCTTCACAAATTTCAACCAGTCAGCCAATCAATCAACCAGCCAGCCAATCAACCAGCCAGCCAATCAACCAACCAGCCAATCAATCAACCAGCCAATCAACCAACCAACAACTAATTAACCAGTCAATGAATCAATCAGTCAACCAACCAACCAACCAACCAACCAACCAACCAATCAATCAATCAATCAATCAATCAATCAATCAATCAATCAATCAATCAATCAATCAATCAATCAATCAATCAATCAATCAATCAATCAATCAATCAATCAATCAATCAATCAATCAATCAATCAATCAATCAATCAATCAATCAATCAATCAATCAATCAATCAATCAATCAATCAATTAATCAATCAGTCAGTCAACCAGCCAATGAACTAACGTAATGCCTTAATGAAATCATCGTAGAGTGCATATGTAAAGAGGGGTTCAGAGAGCTCCCTGAAGAACAACTTGAGAGCGCCTGTGATCGTGTGGATGTCCCACATGCTGTCTGACAGGTCGTAATACTCATCTGGCGATGTTCGTTGTAAGATGATGACGTCAGTGCATGTACATGATGAATGAAAATATCATCATCTTACAATAATAAAAGAACTGCTGCGATGTAGCACAAGCAACATGCACATTACAATTCAAACACAAGAATTGTATTTTAGTCCCTTGAAACAATATACAGAGCATTAATTATTTTTGGAGAACTTTCAATTTTTACATAAAACATGAACTAGTGACTATTTTTTTTTCAACGCTTCAACTTTAAACTGTGAAAACATGCTAGAAAGACATTTCAAAATTATTTCAACAACCCAGAGCAGGCTTATGTTTAATACAAATAACCAGATTAACTGTAAAGACGGAGACTAAATGAATGAAAAAGGCAAGCAAGAGATACAAACTCATGTCCACCATGTTTCTGAGCTTTTGAATCGAGGCCATGTTGCCACTGACCCTGTATATGCCGTCCACTGATAGGCCTGACAAAAAGAGTGCAACACATATTTTTAAAGTTTTTCGCTGCAGGTTGATGATTGTTTGCTCACAGAGGTAGCTACTAGTCGATAAAGCTAAAAGCCGTAATAGGCACGTCGTCTCAAGTTTCAAAAACTTATATCCCCAATAAAAAATATTCAACATTGAATTTGGCCATTTACAAAAACATCAGTTAAAAATGTTCATTGAAATTTTACAGACAGGAAAGATTCAATCAAATATTTTAAGTTTTCTAGCAACTGTCGTGGCCTTGTTCAAGCAAGCAACCCCTATGGTTTACTATCAAATTAGATTAAGGCTTAAACATACGATGAAATTAAATGGAGAGAGAGAGAGAGAGAGAGAGAGAGAGAGAGAGAGAGAGAAAGAGAAGAAGAAGAAGAAAGAACACGTACAGCAGACAAAACAATGAGAACTAACCCCGGCTCTCAACAGCCAACATGCACTCTCTGATGAATCGAGGTATCTTACTCTTTTCCCTCTCACATATGGACTGTATGGACGAGCCGAACACCACTTCTACAAAATAAGTCACCACACGTTTCATAAATGTTCGCATAATATGTCTTAAGTTTGTATTTTAGTTTCAGATGTCCCATACTTAAGTTCATAATTCATGAACCATTGACATGAAGTCAGCAAGTGCCCATTATTAATAGCAAGGTTTCATTCAAGTTGCTATTCCACAAATGATCCTCTGCTAACCTGGTTCAAACGCTCTAACAATAAAATTATCTTTCGATACATTACATGCTTCGTATGTAAACAAGCAGATTCTTTAATAGATTACCGTAAACGTTACAGATGACTTGTACAAATATTGTACACATACATAACTTACATTGCATTCATTCATTTCTATTTAAATATTTACCATCTACTCTATCTGGCCAGGCAAATTTATTTATTACATTTTTGTATCTGATAACCCGTAGCTATATGACCAACGACATAAGATAAATGCGTGTTCATGATAAATGTATATGTGTGATACATGTATGTGTATGTATTGAGTACAAGCAATGCATGCACATACTTGCAATTAATTTTAGGTATATAAATTATATATAGATATAATGAATAAATTGTTAAATGATTGATGCAAAAACATCAAATTGAATTGGAAATCAATATCTTTGCCACCAACCAGACCATCAAAGAAGGCGACAAAATACACACACAAAGCACACACGCACGCGCACACACACACACACACACACACACACACACACACACACACACACACACACACACACACACACACACACACAGAGCTATCAATGAATACAAACAAAAAACACATATATAAAAGTTATTTTAATTAACAATAAGAAAGCAAGCTGAATGCGTTTATGTTTCTTAGCCAATAAAAGACATATAAACTTCAGTAAACAGTTAGTTAAAGAGTTAGGTTTTTAAGCAGGATCATGGCGTAGTAGTAAGCATTCCTAGGCTTTGGTATATACTAGATATGATAAAAATAATTAAAAATTATTATATTTATAAAACAAAAAATTATATAAAATCATCGTAACATACATGAGTTGTACAGAAAATTAAGCCTAAACCATTTGTGATGGAGACCAATCAAACAGTTTGAAAGAGGTTTTATTATAAGGGTAAAGGTTAGAAGCTGTCAACTGTTATATAGAGTATGTTAATATCATATATGGAGAATGTTAAACAAATATATTGAATATATTCATGAAAATAGATAAATGACATATATGAATAATGAACACATGTGTGTGTAAGTAGTACCTTTGTATATGCCCTTTAGCTTGATTGATTCCTTGGTCGGCCTTCGGAGGAGAAAATTTTTCAGTCGAATGGCAATGGTTTGTTTTGTTTCAACCTCACTCGTTGAAACTAACCGATCGATGTTTTTGTGGGCTGTTGTTGTTGCGTGTTGATGTTGTTGCATGTTGTTGTTGTTGTTGCATGTGGCTATTGTTGCATGTTGTTGTATGTGGATTTTGATGCACGTTGTTGTTGAATGTTGTTGTTGTAATTTTGCGTTGTTTTCGTATGTTGCGGTTATTGCGAGTAGTTTGTTGGTATGTACTGCTGCTATGCAGAGTAGCTGCCACTGCTGTTCAGTACTTCACAGCTGTCGGAACTGAGCGCTAATCAGAGTTATACAGTGACATGAGTTTTATTTCATTGCTCATTGTGCTCTTTTTGAATGACTTACTTCTTAATGATTATTTACTCTTAATATGCAGTGTGTACGAATGTGTGTGTGTGTGTGTCTGTTTGCATGTTTGTGTGTGTTCTGCTTAACGTCTGCGCTTCTACGGCTGATGTCAGAGGTGTGTATCAACATAGAGACACACATGCAACACAGCTGTTGCAATTGCCTCACTAATCATTTCGGTGAAATTTTTTACTAAAATAATTTTTCAGATATCTCATTATCAAAATTGATAAAAGTAAGCAAAGAATCGTATTAAATTCTAATACTTCAGATGTTTAAATAAGGACAAAAGCGCGATCACATTTTTACACTTGCATCTGAGTTCTGTCTGTCCTATCTATTCTCTACATCTCTTTGTCTGCCCTATCTGTTCTCTACATCTCTTTCTAAACAAACTTTTTCCTCTGTCTCAACTCAATCAACTGTCCATCCAATCACACACACACACACACACACACACACACACACACACACACACACACACACACACACACACACACACACACACACACACACACACAAACAAATAAACACGCCACATATACACGCACGCACACACACACACACACACACAACACACACACACGACTCATTCATTAATTAGAAAGAGCCAGCTTAAACTAAAATTCCATGTCATCATTTAACCTGTCGTGAAATTCTTAGAAAAAAAAAATCTTTCCACGAGAAATAAATTATTTTGAAACAGGAATAAATATAAAAAAAAAATTATATAAATTTGTGTAAATATTAAAAATAAATATTTTTAATTACGTTGAAATAAAAAAATAAATTATTTTAATTAGTGTAAATTATAAAAATAAATTATTTTAATTATGTGTACGGTAAAATAATAAGAATATTATTTCCACAAAAAACTTGAATAAATAACTGTTGCACAAAGCCTTCGTAACTCTTCTAAGACAACCTTTGGTTATAATCTTACTCACCACGAACAGCCAGACATATATCAAAATAAATAACATTATCTTTCAGCAGCTATTTACATTGATAATTTTTAGCCGAAGTTCAAGCACAATTTAAATTGAATAATAATTAATTTTTTAATTAAATAATAAACTTTTTTTTATATAAAAAAAATAAATCTATAAAAGCAAAATCACATGAATGTTCAGGTTAGCTGGGAGATTGAAACATACTGGTTATATGTATACGTGATGAGAATGCTTCGGTTATGATTTAGATAATATAATAATTATAATTAATATTAATTATTTGATGAAAGGTATAAGCAGAAATATTAAGGAAGGGTTTTTTTTTCTATGTAGTAGTAGCATTAGCAGCAGCAGCAACAACAACAAACAACAACAACAGCTACAACAGCAACAACAAACAACAACAACAACAATAACAACAACAACAATAGTAATGGTTACAAGCCCCATCGTAATAAGCACAGAAATGACGTACCAGGCTTGTCGTTGCTGGGAATGGGCAGGGAACTCAAGTCACTAACCTTATTTCAAATATCAACGTGTCAATGTTTGAATTGAAATGACATAATAGTCAGTGAGCTAATAAGGGGTGATGATGAAAATATCAAGAAGAGCGACGAAATCAACAAAGATCTGAAGAAAAAAAAACAGTTTAAAAAGCAAACCAAAACTCCACTAAGTCACCAACGGCAATAGAACGGTCATAAAAGTCAGATGTAATAATTCAAACAATGAAAACAACACCGACAACAATTCTACCAGCAATAAGAACATAAATATAGCGACATGAACAACAGCAGCAGCAACAACAACAGCAACAACAACAACAACAACAAAGAGCTAACAGTTTCCAGAACGTTAATGTTATTCTCAATGGACTGCCTCCAATGTAGGTTGACGTCTGGATCGTCGTGATGAAGTAGGTAATGCGTTTTCGACGTTGTTATCAACTGTCAGGAGTTGTTGTCATCACATACAACTTGATAAATATGTTACACACACACAACAAAACGTCAACACAAAATGAAAACATTTCTCCGTATAGATACATCAGAACATAAACTCTCGATGTAAAAAAACTTTATGTTGATACAAGCTAGGAAATTGCAATTGCACTGTTGTTGTCACTGCGACTAAATAAAAAATGGTAAATAATATCTGAGGCGTAGCATCAGCGAAATAACAAAGCAAAGCATTTTGCATACAAAAACATGAACAGACAGACCCAAGTCTGTGTCAGGATCGTGAGATCTCCTGTTCCTATCCCACATTCACTCCAGATTAAATCAGAGACAAACAAAACATTATAAGTATTCAAAGAAAAATGTGAAAGTCAATTAAAGGTCAATTACACTCTTCCAAAGTTTAGAGGATTCTGAATGAATGACCCATTTTCTGCTGGCGTCATTTATAAAGGATACTTACAAAAAAATTCATTAAAAATCGAAATCTTGTTATATTTGTATCTTTTTTTCTTTTAAATATTGTATACTTCCTTCTATAATTTTTTTATGTAAAAAAATATTTAGTTGCACGTGCCATCGATTTTCAAGATCAATTTAAATAGCCGAGTTTGCAAAATTGGTGAAAAAATGTCTCGACATAAAAAGTTATTAATTTTTTTTTTGCGAAAATTTTAATATATTATGGATTAAATTTATGTATTAATGTATTTTAAATATTATTTTGCAAAAAACAAATCATATTTAACTGTTGAATATTTTAAAATCAGTCATAAGCATGTGTCCTTTATAAAGGACGCTAGCAGAATATGATACCCTGAGATTCACTTAGTTATCACATTACAAATATTTGTTTTTCAATAGTGTAAATACAATAAACACTATCAATGAATTATTATTAGTTTGATGAACATAATAATTAATTTACTATCTATTGTGAAGATATTCAAGTTAATAAAATAATTTTTTTTAGATTTTTTCAGGAAAATTCTGCTAAGAAGTATTCTCTGCAAGATGTTTTAACCATGATTGGAGATGATGACAGCATCAATGAAGCTGACATTTTTATCAGTTCTCCTGATGAATTCAGATGAAGATGATGTATTGGATGAAATACATGATCAAGGATCATTTGATGATCTACCTGCACGACAATTACTGAGTAAGGCCGAAGTAAAAATAAAACAAATTGGTGGATCTAAAAAAATTGGCATTGTGAGTATTTATTATGTTTAATATTTTTAAATGAATAATAAATTACTATAATAATTCAAAGACATTATTAATTTTTGAAATTATTTTTTAGAAAACTACAATAGAATGATGAATCATGTGAAAGTGATAGTAGTGATGAAATTTTCAATATCTCAAAACCAAAAAAAGATAAAAGAACAAGACAATGAAAAAAGTTGATATATTTGTAAGTCATCAGATGGTCACCATCTACAAAAAATGCCCAAACAAAGAAGATGTGGCCACTGTGGCAAAAAGACAAACTTAATATATGTTTTGCATGTGATGTACCACTGCACATTGCTTGTTTACCTGATTTTCATAAATGATTTTATAACTTTTTTTAATGACTTATATTTTTTTTATTTTATATTTTCAATCTTTTGTTTATTTGTTTCATAAAATTGATGAAAGTTGAGAAAATAACAATAAACATTAATATAAACGATGGTTGCGTCTCAGGGTATCATATTCTGCTGGCGTCCTTTATAAAGGACGTTTTAAAAGAACGCTCTAACTTTTTTAAAAACTAAAATTTTGAAAAAAGAAAAAATCCGTATAAGTTTTTTTATTGGTATCTACAACATATATAAAAATCACAAAAATCTAAAACCTCAGCAGAAAATGGGTTAAATCAAAGTGTGCAACAAGTGATCACAATAGGAACAGCAGGCAGACGGAAGGAATGGAAGATGCAATCGGTCAAAAATCTCAGACGCTAGTTTTTTTTACAGAAACTTATGATTGGTATGATATTTTTTTTAGGATATTCATAGAAATCCAAGTACAAAGAAAAGTTGGAGATACTTAGCTGACGAGGCTAGGAAAGAATGGTCAACTCTGTATGCAGCTCTCAATTATTGAAAACAGCTGAACTGACAATTTCAAATAGAAAAATTGTCACAGTATGTATAAAGTGAAGAACATTAATTACTAAAAACGGTAATAGTAAAAAAGAAATATCTTCAACAAGGCCAGAAACAAGAGCAGAAGAAACGACAGTTACATAGCAAGAAGTCATCCATCAGATGACAGACAGACAGACAGACAGACAGACAGACAGACAGACAGACAGACAGACAGACAGACAACCACTCAACCAACCATGAACGCATCCTTCTTCAAATTCTTGTCCTCAGGAGCTGATGTCAGCTTCACTCCTTTCAAAACGATCTCAAACTCTGGTTTGCCCAGAGAGGACATTGATGATTTCTGATGGTGACGAGAATAAGGATGATGATGACGATGATGTTGATGACGACCGTAGTTAATCAATAAGATGTCGCCATTGTTGTGTGGACGGCGATGATGATGTGACAACGGTCAGCAGGTCAATATGAATGACGATGAAAAAAAAACCAGATGATGACGACGAAACTAACACCGAGGTGATGACGATGACTATGAAGAGGATGAAATGCATCATGAATATAATGATAACGATGACATAATGCTACTAACAAATAATAATGCTGATTATGATGAAAGCGAAGTTGGTGATGATAAATAACACATGTGTCTTGGTGGAGGCAGTAACGAACGCGTGAGTATTTGTATTACACATAACGGTATACAACATTATGTGTATGTGAGCAACACCCCAATGAAAACAACAGGTACCATAAGAAATAAATAAGCATAGGAGGAAAAAGGAAAATTTCCAAAAAGCCGCATAAACAACAACCACGTTGACCTCAACCATCCGAACCATAACTACATTCCACCTCACATAACCTCAAAACCTCGCATGACCTACTAACATCTCTACATGACCTACGACTCCACAAATAACCTCATTATGACCTATGACCTCACTATGACCTAATCTGACCTTACTGAGAACAGAAGCCCCTTTGGTGTCTTTGTAGAAGGACAACGATCCGTGCTGTAGGATGACAAATGATTGAGACCAGGATCTTCTGTGGATGCAGTAATTATTTGTAATATAATTTATCTAATGATGGTTTTATTTTAAAAATTTTTAAACACATGGCAGCTGTGCTGTAAGCAGTTTTTCATTTCAAACATTTTCTTACTTTTAATATTTTTTTAAATTAAAATTTTTTTTATTACAAATTAATTTACCAAATCTATACATTTATATACTTACAAAATTACTTAAAAAGAGCTCATGGAATAATGTTAAGTATGATATAATAAGAAAATTCATTCATTCTATTCATTCATTCATTCTTTCATTCTATTCGTTCATTCATTCATTCATTCATTCATTCATTCATTCATTCATTCATTCATTCATAGAAAAAAAGATTCAACTGGAGTGAAACAGATATGTGATTGGATCTAAGCATGTTTTATCCATTCTTATTTATAATCAAAACAAACAAATGAAGCATTGACAACAACAACAACAGAAGCACTTGTAATGATATAAAAAAATCCATTTACAGTTTTTAAGAAAAAGACACCAAAGGAATAAAATAAGCAATAATCAATAGCTAAAACTCACGGCAACAATGGTGTCATCACTGAGAGACAGCAGAAGTCACAGAAGATCAACAACAACAACAACAACAACAAAAGCAACAAGAGTTTGCCATGATAACAAGCCAGACGACAAACATTAACAACAAAATAACGAAGGCAAACAAAAATAATAATTCAAATAAAGAAATAAATAAAAAAAAACTAACAGCAACCGATCGCCAAAACAGAAAATAAAATTAAATTAATAGCAACAAGTTATTTTTGAAAGCAAGCAGACAAACAGGCAAACAAGCAGACAAACAGACCGACAGACAGACAAACAGACAGGCAAACAAGTAAGTAATCTAATCAAACAGAACAAACTTTATCTTCTTGCTTATTGAACTTTCTTCAACTTTTGCTTTATTCAGCATGCCTTTCTTCTCAACCAGCTAGAAAAATTTTCAAATGAAAATAACAACAGCAGCAATAAACAATGATGAAGCGGTTTAGAGAAAAGGAAGTAATAACGTACCTAATATAAGGACCATTCATGAAAAAGTGGAATAAATGCACGCTACTGCTGTCGCTTCTGCTGCCACTACTGCTGCTACCACTGTTGCCACAACTACCACTAATCTAAATGCCATTGCTACAACTACAAGTGCTACTACAGTACCCTGCAACTATCAGTAACACAATCTCTGCCACTTCACTACTACAATTACTACTTGTTAACATTTCCACAATAAATACTATTCACTCGTGTTTTTGATATTGATGCAATAAGTTCAGCTACAACATCTGCTACTACGAAACAGCTTTAACTACAACTGTATTATACAAAAACAATACTACTACTACTACTACTACTACTACTACTACTACTACTATTTTAAATTACGCCAACATGCATATCTATTAATTCATCTACTTATTTGTTTGTTTGTTTGTTACTTTTTCAATATTTTTCCATTAACAACAAACACACGGTGCATGTGAACAGCACACGTAGAACAATGCATCACACATATTTCACATCACAGGCAGGGATCTTCCGCAATCAAATCAGGTCTCTGTAAACAGTAGCGCCAGGCACTCTACCGCTACACCATCGCCCCACCCAAT